AATTATCTCCTAATTAAAAAAGAGTTAGTAAGTGGGACAACCAACTCTTGAATCCAGGTGTGTATGAAAAGTCTCCTAAGCTCTTTATTTTTCTGGTTAGATATTGATGATTACCATGATCATACTTCTTGAATTGCTTTGGTCAAATCCAGTTTGTCTATATTCCTGATCTATATATTAATAGTCCTTTCACTTCCTAAATTATCCCAGTTTTCATGGTACATTATTTGGTTACCCTACTGTTAAGAATTTTCATTAATTATTATTATTTTTTTTAATCCTCACCCAAGGATATTTTTTCATGTATTTTTTAAGAATGGAAGAGAGAGGGAAAGACAGAGAGGAATGTTGATATGAGAGAAACACATTGATTGGTTGCCACCTGCACACACCCTGTCTAGGGCTGGGGCCAGGGAGGAGCCTGCAACCGAGATAAGTGCTCTTGACCAGATTCAAACCTGGGAGTCTGATTTTCAGGCCGATGCTCTATCCATTGAGTCAAATAGCTAGGGCAAGCATTATTTTTTGCCTTGTTTTTAAATAAATTTTATCAGTATATAAATACTTCATATTTTTCAATTTGTTTTGTCAGATAATAACATACTTTGATTCTCTAAATATTAAATACTGCACCTCATTGCCTATTTGGCTTCTTTTTTTTTTTCAATGGCCACTATAATGAAACTAGAAGCCTGGTACACAAATTCATGTGCTGATGGGGTCCCTCAGCCTGGCCTGCTCCCTCTTACAATCCAGGACCCCTAGAGGGTGTCAGACTGCCAGTTTCAGCCTGAAGGGATCGGCCCGAAACCGGCAGTCTGACATCCCCCAAGAGATGTAGCAGTGGGGCCGAGCTGCTCCTATCCATCCTGGCCCCACTGCACCTGCTGCCTCCGCTCAGTAGCACGCTGCCTGTGGAGGGGGGAGAGGCTTGCACCACTGCAGCGGCGCTGACCAGCCCTGAGCCTGGGGTCTGGGGTCCATCAGTCAGCTGAGTGGCGTTCCCACTGTGGGAGCGCATTGACCATCAGGGGCAGCTCCTCTGTTGAGTGTCTGCCCCTGTTGGTCAGTGCACATCATAGCGACCCGTCAACTGGTTGTTTGGTCTTTCGGTAGCTTGGGCTTTTACATATATAGATGGTGCAGTCATGAATTGGGGTTCAGAAACCCTGATTACTGCTTCTTACTCTCCCAATCCCACTTATTGGATGTGTAACTATAAACAAATTACTTTAAGGCTCTGAGGTTCAATTTTATTTCCTTTATAAAAAGACATGAAGTTCTTCTAGATTCTTGGTGCTGATTTTTCTAGTGCTAAAATTTCAACTCTCTCCTCCATATCTTAGAAAATGGGTCAAGTCTGATTATAGCTGATGCTCCATTCCACACAAATTTATGTTAGGAATGTATTAAAGGGGCCAAGACTTTAGAAATGAACGTTTCTACTCTCTCCAAGGTTTAGGGGTAATTTGGCATCTAACCTATATTCTAAAAGCCACATTTGTTAAGAATCCATCTTAAGTTTTTAACCTCTGTTTATAATTGGTGTTAAAAAGATAAATTATATGTAGTTAACATAAAGTTCAATTTTCTTATTGTGGGCAGGAATATCACGACTCAGTTAAATAAAATGCAAACCTATATCAAATTTTCATGGCCTTAACAGAAGAATGGCCTTGCAAAGATATCCATAACTAATCTGCAGAACCTATTACTATGTTATGTTACATGACAAAGGGAAATTAAGGTTGCAGATGCAATTAAATTGCTAATCAGATGATGTGAAAATGTGGAGATTTTGCTGGATTATCTGGGTGGGGACCATGTTATCACAAGCATTCTTAAATGTGGAAGGAGGAGGCAGAATAGTCAGTGTTAAGTGGCAACATGTGAGAAAGATTTGAAAGCAATTGTGATCTTTGAAGGTGAAAGGAAACCATGAGCAAAGAAGGGTGGGCAGCCTCTAAAAACTGGAAAAGGCAAAACAAGGAATTGCCCCCTACATTCTCCAAATTGGAATGTACTCCTGACAACAACTTGCTTATAGTCTGTGAGATCCATATAGACTCTGACCTCCAAAATTACAAAACAATAAATGTCTGTTGTTTTAATCCAATATATTTATAGTAATTTGTTACAGCAGCTATAAGAAATTAATATAGTCATTAAAAAAACAAATAGACTCATTACTGAGCAGATACTCTGGGAGACAAGTGACTACACACTTAATTGTTAACGTTATTTTTAAATAATTTCCCAATGTCCTAATAATCTTTTTTAAATTATGACACATCTTATTATAAAATATTGTATGTACAGTAGAATGATAATCATGAGATATGAGAAACATAAAAATGTAATACACTCATCAAAATAATTCAAAATAGCATATATTATTATTGCAATTATAAAATGTGAATGCATGTGGAAAAATTCTGGCAAATAACATGAAACAAAAGGTTATAGTAGGGTTGAAATATTAGTTTTTATATTGTATATATTTTTTATTATTGTCATGTGTTTGTGGTTGTTGATGTTGTTGCTTGTAAAGTTGGTGCGAAAATAAATAGGTGGGTCCCGCAGGGAGCTGAGCTTCCACAGTCACCCAAGAGCAGGGTGAGGTGCTGCAGGGTTAGGTGGTACTCTGATGATCCTTTCCCCACTGTCAGCTTGGCCCAGTAGGCAGCTGATCTTTCACTGAATGCAGTATCAATATATGGAATGAGGTTGTCCAAGGTGAATGTAGTTGGCACTCCACTTTTCCCTCTCATTACACTTTGTCTTAGTTCACCTCTGGTGTCAGATGAGGTCCAATCCAGTAGCAACAAAACAATGAGAATTGTTGTAAGAAGGCCCACCATGAAGCTGAGTTTGTATCTCAACCTGTACACAATGAGGAGCTGTAAATAGGTTCCTCACTTTCTCTGGTAAAGTGTCAGCAGAGCTGAGGGGGAGGTGTACTTACATCCACATCTGTCTTCAAAGAGCCAGTGTGCAATGCTCTGCTTTTGTTATGTGTAGAAGCACAGTGGGAACCTAAACATATGCATCCACCTGACCCACCCTCTACCCCTCCACAAGGAAACACTAATTAACAACAAAGATGAAATAGGAGACAGAGTCTCATATTATCATATCCAAATGTTCAAAACATAATTGAGAAAGCACTCATGAGATCAAGAGTCATGAAAACCACAATGTAAAGGAGAAAAGAGGTCAACGGATACCAATAGAGACACAAATCAGATGTTAGAATTATTGGACAAGTATTTTAAAAGATCCATCATAGCCCTAACTGGTTTGGCTCAGTGGATAGAGCATCGGCCTACAGACTCAAGGGTTCCAGGTTCGATTCTGGTCAAGGGCATTTACCTTGGTTGCTGGCACATCCCTAGTGGGGAGTGTGCAGGAGGCAGCTGATTGATGTTTCTCTCTCATCTATGCTTCTAACTCTCTATCCCTCTCCCTTCCTCTCTGTAAAAAAAATCAATAAAATATATTTAAAAAATTAAAAGATCCATAATAAAAAAAACTTCAATTAGCAATTTAAATTCTCTTGAAACAAAATATAGAAAATCTCTGCAAATAAGTAGAAGTTATATTGAAGAGGGACCAAATAAAACACATATAACTTGACAACAAATCACTGAAGGAGAATAAAACTCACCAATTGGGCTTTACTGATGACAGAGGATATAATTCATGAACTAGAGGATAAAGTAATAGAATTTGCTTACTCTGAATATTTGAAAGAAAAATAGTCTAAAAAATATCAACAGATTCTCAGGGACCAGTGGAATAGTAACAAGAGTTCACATTCTTTTTTATATATATAATATATTTTATTGATTTTTTAGAGAGAGGAAGGGAGAGGAATAGAGAGCTAGACACATTGATGAGAGAGAAACATCCATCAGCTGCCTCCTGCACACCCCCCACTGGGGACGTGCCCGCAACCAAGGCACATGCCCTTGACCCGAATCGAACCTGGGACCCTTTAGTCCGCAGGCCAACGCTCTATTCACTGAGCCAAACCTTTCAGGGCGAGTCCACATTCTTATCATTGGAGTCCCAGAAGGAGAGAATGGAGAGAGTAGAGCTGAATAAGTGTTAAAAAAAAAAAAAATTCTGGCTAAAAACTTCCCAAATTTGTCAACACACAAAAACTTACAGATTCAAAAGCTGAGTGAATTCAAATAGGATAAATACAAAATAACTCAAGCCAAGATACATTATAATTAAACTCCTGAAATTAAAAAAAAAAATCTTAAAAACAGCCATAGATAACCAAAACATTACTAATAAGTGAAGAAACACCTGTTCAAAGGACACCAGATTTTACATCTGAAACCTTGGCAGATAGAAAGAAAAAAAAAGACACAACATTTTTGAAATGCTGAAATAAAATGTCAACCATAATTTCCATATCTGGAGATAATGACATCAAGAATGATGGTGAAATAAAGACATGTTCAGGTGAAATATTATGTTGGGGTTATTTCCCATCACACACACAAAAAAGAACAATTACAGTACAGTTTCCCATTTAATTCTAAGTTTCTAAGGAGCAATCCTGGCAAAATGAAGAGAATGATCCTGAATTCTTGCTGTTAGCAGTTGTTAATGCCTTTTTGGTAAACACATTTAACGTGTTTAGAACATAACTATTAATTTTTGTCTATTGAACCAGTTCCTCATACCTTCTTCCTATCTCAGTAAATGACAAGTCTATCCTTCCATTTGCTCCTATCAAAATCCCTGGACTTGTCTCGATTTCTCCCTTTCTCTCACTTCTACAATATAATCAAATCCATATCTCTATCTTTAAAACCACCCTTTTCCACCAATTGTGCACTTGAGTCCAAGCCATCATCATCTTCCACGTTGCTCAATGTTTCAAGTGTACCAAGATAACAACTCCTCTCACATTCAAGGAGGCCTGAAGGAATTAGAGTAGCTGGGAAGTAATAATGTGTGTTGACCCACCTCTTATTTTCCTAATGTACCATATGGTCATTCTTAATTTCTGTGTGAGCTTCCTGGAATGAAAGATATTGATAGAGAATTAGGTTTAAACTATTGCAATAACCTACAGCAGTTTTCCTGTTCTACTTTCTGCCTTGCTTCATTGAATTTCTCACAGAGAAAAAAATGATTTTTCAAAAATATGTCACATAATGTCTACACCTACTCAAACACACCAAAGCCTTACCATCTGCTATGACTACTCAAAACTTGGTTCTGATGTCAACACTGACGTTCCCATACCTATTAAGAGGGATGGAAAAGATATGTTACTCACATAAAAAGGTTTTATGGGGTCCAGCTGGCATGTCTCAGTGGTTGAGCATCGACCTATGAACCAGGAGGTCACAGTTTGATTCCTGGTTAGGACACATGCCTGGGTTGTGGGCTCGATCCCCAATGTGGGGCATGCAAGAGGCAGCTGATCAATGATTCTCTCTCATCATTGATGTTTCTATCTCTCTCTCCCTCTCTATTCCTATCTGAAATCAATACAAAATATATTTTTTTTATAAAAAGAAGGAGGTTTTCTGGGAATAACAGAAAACTGCCAAGGAAATCTAAAAATGCCTTAAAAGAGGAGAAAGATGCTGGCTGGAGGCTTTTACGGTGCCTAGGCATTTGGCCTGGGTGGAGGATTTCTGCTTGGAATAGAAGCTTAGGTAGTTTGAACTCCTGCTGGTACCAAAGAGAAAAGCACAAGGATGTCTTAGCTTGCCCAGATGTGAAGCACGAGGGGAACAGAAAAGGGTGAGGCCTAAAAGCTCTTAGCTGTCATGTCACATAGCAAAGAGATGGAGTCATTACATCTTACTGAAATCATGCCACATCTCTTTACCATGACCTAGAATATCCTACAGGTCTACATCCCTGAATAACCTTCACCACCTCCCACCATCATCCACTTTGCTTCACTCACAGTGGCCTCCTGTTTCTCTGACAGTCCAAGCAAACACTAAGAACTACAATAGAGCTTAATAAATATATGTTGACAGACTACTAATCATACCAAGAAATAAAATATTAGCAGAATTCTAGAAGTTTCCCTCATTTCCCTGCCTGGTTATTAACTATGTCTTTCTCCCCAAAGCTATCCTGACTTTTTGCAATATAGGTGATAGAGCTATTCAATTTCATCTTTTTACATTTTCTCAATCAATGCTATTAATGAATTTGCAGCACAAGTAGGCAGGGATTTAAAGTGATACTACCTCTCTGGGACATAGATCCAGATGAACATTTCCTAGACCAGTGGTCACCAAATGGTGGTCTGCATACCACTGGTGAGGTCCGAAAGGTTGGCGACCGTTGATGGAGTACAGCTGAGGAAGAGCTGCCCTGGGCTAAGTAGTCTACATGGAGGGACAGCTGAGGCAGAGGTGGCCTGGGTTGAGTGATCAAGATGGAGGACAGCTGAGGGCAGAGCTGGGCTGGGGGTGAGTGGTCTAGGTCAATGGTCGGCAAACTCATTAGTCAACAGAGCCAAATATCAACAGCACTTCTTCAAAATAGACTCGCCCAGGCCGAAAACCGACTTCTGTACATGGGCCACGAAGTTTCAATCACACTGTATGTGCGCCTCACAGTGGTATTTGGTGGAAGAGCCACATTCAAGGGGCCAAAAAGCCACATGTGGCTTGCAAGCCACAGTTTGCTGACCACGGGTCTAGATGAAGCATGTCAAACCCGTGGCCGGAGGGCTACAGGACTCATTTATTTGCCCCATATCAGCTTTGATTTAGATATTCTTGGTCTAGAATCTAGAGAGAGGACAGCTGAGGCAGAGCTGAGCTGGGCTGGGCTGAGTGATCTAGATGGAGGACAGCTGAGGCAGTGCTGGGCTGGGCTGAGTGGTCTAGATCAGTGGCCGCCAACCGGTGGTCTACAGACCACTGGTGGACCATGAGGTCCAAAAGGTTGGCGACCTCTGTCCTAGCCAATACTTGCTTTTGGAGCCCTCTACTGGAAGATTCATGACCAAACCACAGCGTTCAAGCCTGTGTGCTTTCACTTGTCTAAAGTGTCTGGTACCTTGGAACCAGTCTTGGATAACAGCAGCCAGTAAACCTGACATTAACTGTCGTCATGTTTATATGGACTGACAGTATCAGGTTTAAAAGCATTTACATCAACATGAATCACGACGACATGATTGGCTATTAAGTGTTCACACATGCTATTTTAACTTTCACCACGAAAATTCCTTTGACCTCATTTTCAGAGATAAACTAGAGGTAGGGAGATCGATTTGAGTCTTCTGTGTGTTTCACAGGTTAGTCCTGTCAGTCTAAATGGATGCCATTTCTGTTTTCCAGAATACTATTAAAATAAGTGACTTGGGACATTGCACATGTGTCCGTGTGTGTTTTAAAAGAAATTTAAAACGGGTAAAAATCATTTTGATTCGACTTTTTTTTTCTATGTAAACCCTAAATGGGGCTCATGAGAAGTGTCAGGTGAACGTGGCCCAAGTTTCCAGGAGAACTCACTCCTTCCCAAAGGATATAAAGAAAAGATTTATGACTCCAGGTGAAAAGCAGAAGAAAGCTGGTGACTGTAGATGGCTTTAGCTTTGGGTTTCTGGTTCATTGGGAGTCTAAAATGAAACTTGGCCATTGCAGAGGGCATGCCTCTACAAATGAGAAAAAAGCCCTTGCAGAATCTGCACAAAACGGGCCTCAGTCTGTGGTTGTCAATTCACATGCACTATGTCTCCAAAGACTCTTGCGTTAACTTGTAGAAAGTAGACTCCATTTTCATCTTGAGCTAGAATGTTGTCAACGACATTTTATGAATAGTTTGCAATTCCCAGTTTCCTCAATTAAAACAAACCTTGATAACATTTTGTGTGACTCACAGAGGTGACTGAAACACTACCCTGAAATGGACTTGGTCCACTTGGCAATATGCTCTCCGATATTCGGAACAGGAAATCAAGTTATGTCTGTCTCTGTATCTTGCACCACGTACATAATTCATTAAGGAATTAGAGCTCTGAGTTTTCAGAGTATTTTCCCCTGCTATGGAATTTTTAATATGTAAGCTGAATCAGAGTGTCTGTTTGTGATTTTAAAAAACCCCAAATTGAAGACTTTTGCAGGTGCATATTGGCATGTGGGTGGGATCTAGACCATGGACGAGCTCACATTTCAGCACCAAAGTAGAAAATGGGCATGGAATGAATCCTCTCTTGCCCCATTAACAACTAGCCTCATAGGCAACATCTGGAGTTTGCATAGGTATTTTATGACTTAAATAGCAGAAGTCACACCACCATTGGCTATAGTACTCCTGACCTAAGAACCACAACAGTCATTGAAAGAACAGTCTTCTCATTGATTAAAAAGGCTCAAGTATTTTTCGCTTCTAATTTATGAGGAATTATGCAAAACTGACTTTTACAAAATGGGGTCCACCTTCTGTTTCTAATTTAGTGCATCATAGTGCTTGATTGTCTCCTGCCAGGAGG